ATTTTGACGGGTGTTGTGTTGATGTACAGGTTAATAAACTGTATATATACATGATATTGATTTTATTGGAATGTACTCTGGTATAGAGCAGAATATAAATAAATACAATTATTATATTATTATAATTATTACAGCAAATAAAAGGCAAAAACTGAAATGCTGTCACCAAATATCCATAAAGTTAGATATATCTGAAGATGTGGAAACAGCCTAGGGGAAACGTCACCTGAAGCAGTAGGTAAGATTCTAAGTAGCTCCATCCAAGGTGTTTATAAAGCATTTAAGACCTTGTTAAGGGATGGGAAAAACTTATTAAATTTACAGCTTCAAGAGAGGTAGACTTTTCATGCCAACTCCTCATTATCCTATCTGAACAAAAGGTAAACAAAAGGTCCCTATTACCTCTCAATATCAGTGAGTCTAGAAGAGTCCCTGAATCCTTTAGCAAAAGGGTTACTGTCAATTTTCAGCTTGGTTATCTGGAAAGAGAGGATAAGAGAAGATAGAATATGAGAAAAGTTTCATAGAAAAGTGATTCAGACATACCCGTCCATACCAAGCCCATCCACCCTCATGTTTCAAGAAAATTAATTTCATCTCAGGTTGGGAATTTCTAACTTTTCTTTCTTAAGATTATGATTACGTTCTACCACCACCAAATCAAGACTCAGGGTGCCTTGTGGCCCAGAAGTTAGAGCTTCTTACATTTACTGCTGGATTCAGATTTAATCATACTTGAAGCATGGGGGTCTGCAGGAACTGGGGGATGGTTGGGACTGCATGGCAGCATCTTAGCTTACATAGCAAGAGTCAGCTCCTCCATAAGTTCTATAGATTCAAATGGGCTAACTCTAGCTGTGATTTACTATGCTAAAGTACGTTGCAACAAGAGTGAACCCATTAATCAATGGAACCTATGGAGGAGTTGACTCACCAAATCCCCATTGATCAACGGACCTGCTCTAGTGCAACTTACTATGCTAAGCAACAGGATGTCCCCCACTCTGTTATAACCTTCAGCCTGCAAATTGCTCCCAACTAGAGATGGGCACAAACTGCCAATTCGGTGGTTTCTGCAGGCTTGTTTAGCAGCCAAACAGGTGTTTGGCACCTTGCAGTCCCACTTCCTCTGGTAGGCACCCACTCAGAGGTTGTGCCTGGAGGAGGCGGAGCAGGGAAGCCAGAGCAATGCCTCTGAGTGGGTACCTGCTAGAGGAGGTGGGGCTTCAAAGCACCAAGCATCTATTCAGCTGATAAATGAACCAGCACGAACTGCTGAATCATACCTATCACTACTCCCAACAACCTTGAAAAGTAGAAACTTGGTAAAACGGCTTCATTGAGCCTTAAATTTAATGCATCATTGTGTTTCCATGTTGCCTACCCGTCATGTTCATACTCAATTCTGTACTTGCTGATGAAGGATCATTTCCCCTATGGCTTTATGACAAAGTCTTCTGTCATCAAAAGGGTATGCCCCCAGGATCTCAGGTATTTGCCTTGAAATCTTGGAGAATGGGCTACTGCTGGTGAACAACCCTGCTGACTAATCAATATATAATTTATCTTAAAGCAACATTGGATGCAATGTTGGCATTTCTCCTCAGGATGACGTAAGAGGAAGTTTGAGGGAAGGGAAGAATTTCTGCAACATTTTTTTTTAAAAGGGGAGGATTATGGAAAGAAAGAATTTCTGCAAACATTTTTAAAAAGGGGAGGACTCTGGAAAATTAAATAGAAAGTAAGAAGTACTAGTGGTTGCACAAGCAAAGCTTTCAAGGAATTTCAAAGAAAACTGAATGCTTAAAAATGTGCATAACAAGATGATTATGATTTTAGACACCTTTGCTTACCAAAAAGAAGCCCCCTTCACTTTGGTTGAAATCCTATTGTTCTAGCTATGCCTGCAGAAAGGTAATGGCATCCCCAGGAGGGGGAGATTTTCCATAACTAAAGACTTCATTCTTTTCTCTTGCAGCTCTTCTGAATAATCCCTTCCATTGAATGGTAGCCATAGGAACTTCAGGATAAAGGGAGGAAGTCTTTCATTACTGAAAATCTTCCCCTGTTAGTAATATAAGCCAGCAGTTTTCAGTAATGAAAAACTTCCTCCTCCCATCCTATGGTTTCCAGAGCTTGCACTTGATAGAAGGAATTATTTGCAAGTCAGAAAATCCTTAGGGGAAGAGGGTAGTTTTTTACTGTGGGAAATTTCCCTTGCTCAGAATACAGTCACTCTTCTGCAGGCATAACTAGGTCATAATTAGCCATACAACAATATCCACCAAGTACTGTATGTCTTACAAATCTCCCAAAATTTGGGAATCCAAATTTCCTTCCTTGTCCCTCTGTAAATTGGGAGTGTAACTTCATTAGAACTCAGTAGTGAAACCAGAATGTCCCCCAACACCATCCAATACTAGATATATCATCAGCCTCTTAACCCCCAAAACAGACCAAATTACATTAACTGATCCAAAATGCTCATACTTCATTCTGTGGCACATGTTAACAGAGCAATGAGTTGAGGCATCTTCCTAAGTAGGAATGGAATAAAATCAGTCTATTCTATTTTAAGGTGACTATAAATGGAAAGCTTCTCTCAGTTCATGGAGGTGCTTTGACAGACATTGCTAAACATGCTTACCATAAGCACAAAAGTATATCATGCACTTTCATGATATGACATTTAATACACTTCTGGAGTAAAGGCAGTACAGAAAATGGTTTACAGCACTGTTTGTTAGGTGTGAACATTTGGAGCTCCCAACTAATTATTAGATTAGCCCTGAGAAATGGGATGTGTTTTTGTGGAATAATAATATCTATTTATTCACTGGGAAAAATTAGAGCTGTTTTTATTTTTCAGCAATGCTCCGTTTGAAGCATGCAGTTTGATCATAATGGGAAACAGGCTGCAGCATTTTTTATGCCACGTTTTAAAAATTAACAACAACAATAAGTATTATCTTTTACCAGTTTTCAAATGAATCATGAAAACATCTCCGAGAAACCTTGTCAAAATGAAACGTGACCTACAATTCAACTCTCTCTCAGTGGCTTGACTGTTTAAACAAATGCATGACCTTTAAATCTTAAATGTGAGATAGTTTGTTGAAAGTGTAATGTATTTAGCCCTTATCTAATAACCTGCAGAAATGTAATCATCTCCCTTAAAACCTGCACTGAAAGGAATGGTAAAAATAAAAGAGGTTCCATTTTCATTAGTCATACGTAATACGACAGTATCCGTCTCTGGGATTTCTAAAGAAGTTCCACTGGGAAATTCAGCAGGATTAATGGTATGTGCTGGAGATTTAGACCAGAGCTTTCTAAAACTGCTTTATCAATGAAAACACTACTTTTTTTAATAGGCCTTGCACTTAATTACAAGTTTAGAAATTAATTTGTCTGTAGGACCAGTAAATGCATAGTCATTGGGTAGATCTTTTTTGTTTTGAACTAATGAAATCCTGTACTCTGATATTTAGCAATAATTTATATATTACTATGTAGCAACTTCCTTTAGAAAATAGGGTTCAAAAACCTGGAACATTCTGAGTTTCGAAACTTTTAAAATTTTCTCAAACCAATAAAAGAATCCAGATACAGAAACAAAGTTCTCTTCCTGTATCAGCCTCTCAGAAGTGATCTGTGAACCCAACAAGACACTGTCTGTGGAACCATTGGCCTCAGCTTTTAGGAAGAATAGGCAGCTGCCTCAGGCAGCCAATGATGTAGATCTACAGCAGTGGTCTCCCAATTGTTCTTCCTGACCCTCCTGGTTGTTTCCTCAAGACTCTAGAAATAATTCTATAATTCTATAGTTCTATAATTCTCCATTCCACTCCCCAAAAAATCTGGCCATAGTAGCATAATTTACCCACATTCTGGTGTAATTTATCTACACGGGAGGTGGCTGATGTCCCCCACATCCAGTTTGGGGTGGATCATCTGTACTGCCTCCATGCTTCATCAGAAAACTCAGGCTTGTCTGTATCAGCAAGGTGTTGGGAAAGGGAGCCTCTTTCACATGTAAGTCCTGGTCTTGTGATTCTCTAGTAACACCTCCTCAAATGGCTTGGATGGGAGCACTTCATCCAGGATCACAGACAGGTTTTTCTGACGTGGTTTGAGAAGTATGTCAGAAAGCTATTTTGAGGTTTTACAAAACAAAGAGGGTTGGAGCATATCTGCTCGCAAAGGAAGGGTCTTCATTCTAACCTTGTCTGTGGAGCGTTCTAGCGGGCTCCTGTTGTATAACTGGCCCAAGAAAAGACATTTGCCCTGCTTGTTCTATTTAAAAACTGTTTCCAGGCATAATTTAGAAAACTATTCAAAAGGCTGAGAAATAAACTACTTCCAAATCCTGTTTGACAACTAGCATTCACCAGCATGTAATACAGTAATAATAACATGCAGACTCCAGTATGGAATTGTTTATTTATTTAAATAAGTAAAATATTTTTATTCTGCTTGTCTGCCAAAGCATTCAACATGGTATATGTGGGCCATGTTTAAAACAACAAAACCATGACATGGCTGGGTTAGATTTTTAGTGATTGACACCCAATAAGCCAGTGGTTCCTAACCTTGGATAACCCAGATGTTCTTGGGCTACAGCTTTCCTTGACTATTTCTTACAAAGTTTGAGTATTCAACAGGTTGCTTGGCCCTCAAATGGTATTTGGGTAGAGCACCTTAAAGACCATTAAGGAGCAACCGCAGAATCCTCTGGATGGACCCCCACATCAGGTTCTCACCGAGAATCATCTCCCTCAGTTCCCATTTCACTTTGAAAGCAACAGAATAGTGACTTGGGGCAGAACATTTTGGTTCAGGAGTTCTAATCCAAACTGACAGAGTTTCCCAGGTTACGTTTTTCTTTAGAGTAAAAACATCCTATTATGTTTTTTGTGGTTCAGAGAATTACTTTTCTATGCTCAGATTGTTCGGCTAAGGTGGCCTAAGGCAGCTGAAACACCATGTGTTTTCAAGCAATAGTTGTGTACTGATAATGTAGCATGCAGTGCTGAGAACCAAGGATAAAGGTAAGAAGGACCCTTTAAAAATCCACAACTCACACTGTGGCTTTCTGTACCTTTCCTCAGATTGCTCCCTACATACATAGTTTCTTAAAAGTGGCTGAAATCCTGTTGCACATTCCCATTTGTGCACCAGGGATGATATTATCAGTAAAAAAAAATCCTCTTGATTACCCAATGATTAAAGTTGATTTTAGGGGTGCACACAACTTCTGTACAATGCAACAAATCTGCATGCACTACAGGATCTCCAAAGGAAGCTGTTAATTAGTGGTGATTTGCTACTGCTGGTGACATCATCAACTGTGCATACATGGAGCTGTGGAACAGGATTTCATCCAGTGGCTAAGAAAGCCAGACCTCTGGGCCACACCAACAGTAATTCAAATTCCAGTCCCCATCACTCATATCTTCTATTCTAGTTTTGGCCATGTCATATTTATCAAATAACGAATGGACAAGAGTTATCAGACTGTCTGGAAACACTCACCAATTGGTTCTGGTAGGCAGTGACAGCAGTAAACACAGTCTCTGGAAAAATAAATGTTCGGAATTCTTCAGATTTCAGGTTAAGCAGGGAAGCTGTATGGTCTTTCTTCTTGATGATATGCACCCTTGGCTGATATTTGTGCATTGAATTCAAGATTATCTAGAGGAGGGGGGAAATGGGGAAGGGAAGGGCTGTCAGTTCTCACTTTGGGCCAGCAACATTCCTATCTACTTTCCAGCATTCTTGACATCTGCCAGATATATTCTCAATGAGCTTTGTGCATTAAGCATGTATCTTCTTCCACAGTTCATCCCCCCTGGTCTCAGCTACATTAATTAAGAAGTGTTTGTGTCTCCTCCACAACTCCAAGACTGCAAAACGTTAACACCTGAAATTCAACATGTGAAGTGGGGGCCCTGGGCACTCTTCAGGATTACTTGATTTTTAAAAATGTTCTTCTGCAAGCAGGTGAAGACTTTTCTCTTCAGGCATGCTTTTCGTTAATGACAAACTGTCTAGGAGAAGTTTTAAAAAGAGATGGTTTGGATTTTGTTGCTTCTAAATCTATTTTAGTAATACTTGCATTCTTAATATAATATTATTAATTTGTTTAATATTTGAATAATTCATTATTATTAGCTTTAATATTGTGTTTCAGTGTTGTAAACCACCTTGGGTCCTTTCTTAGGAGAAAAGTGGGGTAAAAGACATTAAATTATTATTATTATGTATTGGGTTTATACTCAATATTATTTATTGGATTTATACCCAATTATTTATAACTAACTAAATAAAATTAATTAACTTTAATCTCTCGGTAGCCTGAAGTGTCCTCTTCAGTCACTCCATGGCAAAGTTCCCTAATCATTTAAGGGGAAATTGGAGTCAGGCCTGGAAGCTTCATTTCTCCAGAGAGCTTCTGGACAGGAGAAAGAAAACAATATGCTGACCATGGCTACGGCTTCCCTTGGCAGTGCTTCTGTAGGGCTAGGGATGTCCTGCTGCCTGGCAAGGTAAAGTGGAAGGCAAGCAGATGGCAAGATTGAGCAGTGCTCCTGATGGAAGAAGAGAAAATCCAGTGAGCGAGCAATAGCACAGAGGAGGAAGAGAAGCTAAAGAACAGGGGAAAGAGTACAAGGAGGAAGGAAAGAGTAAGAAAAGAGGGGGAAATGGGTAGAAAAGGACAGAGGAAGAATTCTTAACTCAGTGAGAGAGAGGAAAGCACTGGAGTAGATGTGGGTGAGTAGAGAGGAAGACCATCTGCAAAAATGGATTGTTAGTAGGTAAGAGGAGAGAAGAATTACCTAGGAGGTGGGAGACAAATTGCACTGAGGGAGGGGTCTCAAGGATTTTTAAGTTGGGTACTTCTGCTGGTAATTAATATAAAATAATCCATGAAATGTCTTCACCATAGATACATTGTCTCCCAAGATTTGAGAAAGATTCAAGACACCTTCAGAGTGTAATGGTGAGAAAAGCAATATCTCTCTGCCATGTTGTTATCATATTAACCCTGACAGATTGGCTCAGCTAATGGAGGCTGTTTATGACACCCAGTTCCTAACATTCAAGAAGCAAGGGAAGGATAATTGAGGTATATTTTATTTATTTATTTATTTAAAATATTTTAACCTCCACCGTTCTCCTTCAAAGGACCCATGCTAGAATCTTCTCTCAACTCCAAGGAATAATCCCATGAAATGTCAGAGCTCTTTGACTGCTCTCTGATTATCATGCCAGCCTCCCTGGAGTCATGGCACCTTTCCATGTGTTTTGCCCCTTTCCAGCAGGTGTGCCAGCAGATGCGATTACCTCAGAGCATTGACATTGTTTTCCCTTCCCATGGAGCCAGCTACTCACGTGACCATGCTGATCCAGCTCGTTGTTTGTGAGCTTCACTTTTTCAAAGGATACCATCTGCTTCAGCAATTGTTCCCCTGTAAAGGGAGAATCCGGATGCACGTACAGCCTAGAAAACCAACAGATAACAAGGCCCTTCAATGTCAGTCAAGCCCATCTGAAGCCAGGATGTTGTTCTTTTGTAACCAAGTCATCATACAGCATCAACAGCTGCAACTGCCAGGACCAGCCCAGCCAGCAATGCTGTTTGCCTGCCTAAGTTCAGGCACTCATCCAATCTGAAGCCCTAACAATGAAGAAGAAATCAAGTGTCCTCATAACTAATCTGAAACAAGAGATGTGAATAAATCGCATCACTCCCAACATTTTGATGGGTCATTTCAGCATGCTAAGACTGCACCTCAACGATTTTCCATTCTGACTCCTTGGTCACCCTTTCTAGGGTTTCCAAGAAGTGTTGCTCCAAGGCTGTGCAGATTGCTCAAGGCTACATAGAGTGGCTCCTCTCCTGGGAGGCAAATATAAAAATGTGCAAAAGTTTTTTAAAAAAACACAATTATTTCCAAGTATACAGATGATTCCAATGAGAGTTCATAGCAATCATGGGCAGATGTTCTCGACAGGAGCCATGCACCCATTTTCTGCTGTTGGTGGAAGAAACGTGACAGGAGAGAACAGGAAAAGGGTGAGCTTAGGGATGGGAAACAGCATTTGACCCATCTTATCTGAACTGTAATTCTGTGAAATGTATTCAGGTGTTCAAGTGTGCTTCCTAGGCAGGCGAAACACTGTCACCCATGAACAAGAGGTAGGTATAAAGACACCTGCGGAACATAGGAGACTGAATCAGAACAAGACATGTTTAGTGAAAGGAAATTTTGAGGAGTAGGTTCCAAAAGGTGGCAAAACTATGCATCCTTATTTGGAGGAAACTCCACCAAACACGGCACGATTCATTCCCAACACTGCACACATCAGGTGAAGCCACATTAAAAGAGCTCCGAACCAATTTAAGTTCCTGACATAGAGATGGCACTGAAATCAGTGAAAACATTTCAAGTAAATACAATTCTCATCAGAGATGTCTAAAACACACTCATTAATGTCTTCATTTGCTGGCTTGGATCATAAACAAATGTTTATTTTCAAAAGCTGTAATACTTTCTGGGCTTTTTCCTCTATAACCTAAAGGATATTTTTATATCATTAGCTAATGTTTAATGCTTCCATTCTAGATCCTTGTTAAGCATGTTCATTGCTATATCATTGTAGACAGTAAAGGACAGTGATAGCTTTACCCTGCAGCTATTTTGAGCTTAAAATAACAACTGGCTGATATAAAAACTCAGTGAGATCCAGGGTAGCATAGAAGTCAGAGAACTAGATGCCACTGAGTTGGCAAAGACTGAGTTAGAATGTTGACACAGGATGTGGGAGATCCAGATTCAAATCCCCGGGAAACCATGAAGCATGATGAATAACTCTGGGCCAGGCATGCTGTCACACTTTAGCCTGACTCACAGAGTTGCCAGGGGGGCAGAAAGTGTGGGCAACGAGGTCTACTGTCTTGAGGAAAAGCTATATCATTGGAGACAAGGGGATGTAAACAAATGGATAAGAATAAAAAGAATAACTAAAAGGTTATGTTGCTAGGTGGATAGCTCAGTGCATTTTGTAGAGGTTGGGGGCATGATTTCCCACTATGACCCCCGGGAGTGCACCCAACAAATAATAATCATTATTAAAACATTATGTTATTAGTAAAATGTTATGCCATCAAGCTAGAATCAATTTATAGTAACCCTAACAGGTAAGGTAAGGTATGAGTGCAGATTCAAACCCAGGTCTCCTGAGTCCCAGTTTGTCAGTCTATCCACTACACCACAGTGGGTATCCTAATATAAGAGATATGTCTGAGAAGTGAAACAAATAAAATATAATAAATAGCCAGTGCTTAAGCAGGAACAAGGAAGGTAGAGGGATTCTCTTCTTATCTGCTGTTGACCAAATAGTTTGCATTGTACAGGATCAAAATGTACATGGACTACGGAAACATTATACTTTGTAAAGAGCAAATAAAAGGGTGGCTTGTATTATCAAGGGTACTAATCAATACTCTGTTAACAAAGTTAGGGAGAGAGAAACAGCCCCTCCCTCCATACACACACATAAGGAATTAAAAAGGAAGCAGAATATTTATCAGCAAGCTAGGACTCATAAAGCTGATACGTCTTTCAAACTTCTGGTCTGGTTCCTAAAGCAATCTAAGCTAAATAGTGACAGTCTTCTATTCATGGAATCACTGAAAAGTTTTACAATAGAACTTCTTCCTAAAAGAATTTTGCCTTCTGCATTCAAAGCATAAAGAAAAAGTTGCTTTGCCTGTTGACAGCAGGAAAGGAAGGATTTCGTGGTTATCCATGGTGAAGGGTTATGAATAGAACTGCTTTCAAATGATACTCACTAAATCTTGCTAATTTCAGCTTCTGTAGTTGTAGTGCTGAAAGTTGTTTCTATATAGAAATGAGGTGGGGAGTGCCCCAGGGGGAAAATGTCACCAGTCCTTACCTACATCGGTGATTGCCACCCCTTTCTTTCTTACTTTCCTTCTGAAAAAAAATCACTTCTGTAAGACAGAATGTGTGTGCCTTTTTCCGAGCTCAACAAGTTAATGTTGTTTGGCCTAATCTTGCAAAAGACATAATGCATGTATGTCACTGTTTTAATGCCTACTTTAAAACATACAGATAGAAATGTGGCTTTCGTGTCAGGGGTCTCAGAAACCAGAAGGTGGTAATAAAAAGGGTTTATTGAAATAACTGAAGCATGATATCACAACTCCATGTTTACTGTTCCAGCCATTGAAAGCGCTTCCGCTGAATTGGGAAGAGACCCTCTTAGCAGAGGAGAACAAAAGTTTTAGATTAAAACTCACTCCATACTACTTTGGTCAGGAGACCAGTAGGAAGCCTAGTTTCTAAGCACATTCCCTCATATGTGCCACACTTAGAAAAGATGCTGTTTGGACTACAGCTTCTAATAGCTGAAATACTGACCATGCTGGGTGCTCAGGAAGGTGTAATTGAAAACAAAACAAAACACATACACACTAAAAGTTGCATTACATTTTGAAGCTCTGAAAATAAATCATTCCAAAATCAGTGTTAGAAGAAAATGTCTCTGGGATATGTCATATCTGATTTTTCACATATATAGAGAAGCATCTCCAATGGTTGGAAGAAGAAAAATATTTGGCTTCCTTTTGGGCATACATGATATGCAGCCTCTTCCTAGACAATTCCCCTCATATTTAAGGCCTGCTCTTTTTTTTAAAATTAAACTGGACTCCTGAGTAGGTGGACACAGGTATATGTGTGTGTGTATTCAGAAGCAATCTATGCATGTCTGTTCAGAGGTCAGTCTCGCTGATTTGAAATGAGCAGAAGACTGCAGCCCTTGAGTGTTGGAAATATAACAGGGACAGAAGCACTGTTCTTTAATTTAAAGGCTTTTAGAAAAATCTATTGCTTCTGGGGAAGTGGAAGTACAGATATAGTAGCTGGTGTGATAAACTGAAAAGGGTGTTCAAGTCCCCACTTGCCCATGGAAATTCAATAGGAGGTAGAACTGACAAACCACTTTTTCAACATCTTATATGTTTCCAAAACCCTGCCAAGATTGACATAAATTGGAGGTCACCTGACGGCATGTAACAGCAACAACAAGAAACAGCAGAATTGTTTCAGAAAGAGATCTCTTGCCTTTAACAAAAATTGCTTAATTGATCTGTACATTTTTAAAAAGACTACCACTAATCTGTTCAGCAGTGCTGTTCTCTTCTTCTCTGATCTCTTCTTAGATTGTAGATTATTTTCTTGGGAATGAACCCCATTGAATTCTATGGGAAGATGTATGTGTGTTTGTGTGTGATTGGAAAAACCATAGGGATTGGAGAGTTATTTCCCCCTTCTTTAGCTCTGAACCCCTCCCCCAAAAAATTCTCCCCACACGACAACAGTTCATATGAAAAAACTTCCCATGGGTGCTAGAGGACATTTTTGTCAACTTCAATTGCTTTGCAAGGAAAGGAGAATAAGTAATCTGTGGATAAGTAATTGAGGGTAATCTGTTGGCTGCATTTGACTATTGGCTGGATGATCTTTGATATACAAGAATGTGCTGTAAATAGATACAGAATTAAAAACCCATTAACTATCCCACTACAGTATTAGCCATCCCACTTTCTCTGATTGAGAGAGGAGCAATAGTGGAACATATCCTTCAGGGACAATTCTGTCTGATTCTTACATAAATTATTTTATAAGCCTGTCTTCTCAAACATGATGCCTTCTAGAGGTGATGGCCACATTCCCAACCATGCTGGATGTAAAAAATAGAAGAAACTATTTGATTCTTGTATAAACTTATTTTCCTTCACTGCCTTATTTTTCCCGTCTAGTAGAGCCCATTTTATTGTAAATCGTTATTAGAAGATATAAACTGTATTGAGCATTGCAACAAAGAAGTGATTTCTAAAATCTAATGAATAAATATTTTCAAATTGCATTACATAATTTGTAATTGATTCTAGCAATTGCTTGATGAATTGGTTGATTTCCCACCTTATCAACAAGGTAGTACATAGGAACAAATGATTAAAACCAAGATAATAAAGTAGAATTGAAAACAAAGTTTAAAAATGAAAGCTAAATTGACGCAACAGGTTAAAAAACGGAAATAAAACTATTTTCCCAAACAGCAGCAAAATGCTACAAACCTAACTTCTGCATGCCATGTCTTTAAACAAACTAATTTGTCTCTGTGCTGCATCTTGTATACTATATTCTAAGGTGTACTTGTATACTATACACAAGAGTGCATTTATATTTTAGACCCATAAGGATACAGCATGGATTGTCTATGTGCACCCACACACAACTTTCTTATATACTAACTTATATTAGTATTACTAACTTTAGTTACTATTGTTACTGATTTAATAATAACATGGAGTATACAAAATGCACTACACAAAATAGGCAGACAAAGATAGATACTAGAGGATGATACCATACTGGAAGAACTACTTTGAGAAACCTTGACATTTTTTTTAATGCACCCAACTTCCTCTATTGTGGTTGCAGCATTTTTCATGCATCAGAATGTTTTATCAGTACACTGTGAATCTGAATTCAATCACACTTTAAGTACACTGAAAGTCATGAACAATGTAAGCTTCATAGGCTTCAGTGAATCTCTTCTATGTATGAAAAATATTTGACACAGAAATAACATAAAGGTGATTGTAATACATGATCCTGTACCAAACTTCTTCCCCCCATTCTTAATGCTAGTGAATACTTTAGTTATATTAATATTCCTCTTGCCATACATAAATTCAGTTTTAAATTTATTTTTAAAACCCATAAAACTACACACCTAACTTTTGTTTTTTTTAAAAAAAGAACTAATTTTTTTTAAAAAACCACGCCGCAGATTGGATACAAGGAACTAGCTGGACCCAGGTCTTTAGTTAACAGAAGCATTTTACAGAATTCCAGACTGATCCTGAGATTAGGTTATTCCAAACACAAACCCAGAATTCAAGGCCTCAATTGCATCATCAGGTACTGTACAATTCTAAAGCACAATGAGATGAGTAGGAAAATAGTCACTGCAAATGCACTGCAAATAGATTTGCATGCTGAAAATGATCATTTCCTTACACCGGAAGTGACCGCACACACTAGATTTCTTTTTAGAGAGACATGTTTTGGTCGTATCAGGTGCAAGAATGCTGCTTGAAGTGTTCTCATTCTATTTTTTAACAGTACTCGTAATATATTATGGTTTGTCTCAATCTGAACCATTAAGCTGTCTTGGACTCAAATAAATAAAAATAAAAATTCCAAGCACTGTCATCCATGGGGCAATATTGCAAACTACTTTTCAAATAATCCCCAATATTTATAAATGGGCTTTGTGTGGAATAGGGTGGGTTTAATTTTTAATTCGCTTATTTTCAGCATAAGTCAAAATTCTGCTAACTGTATAGAACTAGTTATGTGGGGATTGTGAGGGCGGATTGAAATTGAAGTGCTAATGTTGAGTTTTAAGGTTCTGAATAGCCAACAAGCAGGTTATCTAAAGCGTTTGATCCCACCCTTGAGTCCAGAGACATTGTTGAACTTCAACTCTCCACCTCCCTCTCAATCAGCAGAATGTTCATGAATTCTAAGATTGGAAATCAATGGTCTAAAGCAGCCATTTTCAACAAGGGCCCTATGTCTTCCTGGGGGGGCCCTGCACACTTGAAGGGGGTCATAGATTGGAAACAGTTCCTCGTGCATCACCTTATTTTGTGACTTATACAATCCTGATTTGGCCTGTATTTCTTTCATATTGTGTTTATGGCCGTTGTCCCAAAGAAAATATTGAGAATGGCTGAGCCAAAGGACCCCTTGTATTCATATGAACTTACGAGAGGGTGCTGATAAGGATTGAGCCTTACCCAGAAAAAATTAAGCTAGGAAGCTATAAATTGCAGGGTATATTGGCCAATTTGTCTATATTCAACGATGCAAAAATCAACTACCTATGATTTTAACTTCCATTTTCAGCTCCAAAGTGAACATGGTGGCATCTCCAGAAAAGTCCTATGCTCTTCGTATGTGGAAGAGCATAGGACCATAATCAAGTTCCTGTTTCTTCAAGGGAAAGGTGCAAAGCAGATCCATGATGAAATATCACAAACTATGGGTGACACTGGCCCTGCATATGCAACACTGGGTTGTCAATTTTTAAACTTGCCATTTCGGTGATAAAAGTGAGAAACCCAGTGGAAGGCCTGTTTCTGTTTCTGTGCCTGCAAATATGAGAGCCATCCATGACATGATCATGAAGGACTGCTGAATATCAGCCAAAAGTATTGATATATATCTGAGAATATCACGTGAGAGAGTTGGTGCCGTTATCCACAATGACTTGGAAATGAGAAAGCTGGCAGCAAAGTGGATCCCCAAACTTTTGACAACTGAACAAAAGAGAAAATGTGTGAAGTCATCAGTGGCTGTTTTGGAACATTTTGCAAGAAATGAGTCAGATTTCCTGGGCAAACTGGTAACTGGTAATGAGACATAGATCTACTGCTATGATCCTGAGACAAAGAAACAGTCTAAGGAATGGAGGCACAATGGTTCCCCCAGGCCAAAGAAGTACCAAGTGCAAAGGTCAGTGCAGAAGCAAATGGCAACCATTTTTTGTTTTGTTTTTTTGTTTTGTTTTTAATAAGAAGGGAGTTCTGCTGGTGGACTACCTCCAACAAGGTTCAACCGTCAATGCAAAATATTACTGTGCTTTATTGACGAAGTTGAGGCAAAATATCAAGGAAAAACGTTGAGGAAAGCTCTCCAGGGGTGTCATCCTGTTGCATGACAATGCCTCGTCACACACTGCAGGTGAAACAATGGCAAAACTGACGTCCTTTTGGGAGTGTTCTGGAGGCAACTAATGCTGCAAATGAGTGGTTACACCAGCACTCGGAAGAGTTTTATTTGCAGGGACTTAAGAAGCTGCAGGACATATGTCGCAAGTGCATTTACTTCCTGGGGGAATATGTAGAATAGTGTGGCAGTTACAGCTTCCTAGCTCAATTTTTTTCTGGGAAAGGCTCAATACTTATCAGCACCCCCTCGTACTTAGGCTTGAAGAGTGGCATCAAAAACTCAGTCCCTTGCTCATTAAGTTCACACTGGCCTTCTTGCAGTAGCACATGTGGACTTTTTTTACTCCTTTCCCCTCCTTTCTCTCCTCTTTTCTCTTTATATAAGCATGTGTTGAAAATCTTGTTATTTCTTTGGGGTTTAATGTTTAGTTTAATTTTTTATTGGCTCTTAGATGTTCATGTTGTTGGGCATTTAAACTGCTTGAGACTGTACATAATTTTAAATTATAATTTTTATTGTTTCTGTTGTTATCTCTCCCTTTCTCTCTTCTGTGATCTGCTTTGGGTGATTATTTTTCAAAAGTGATATTAAAATATTTATAAGAAATATGGGGGTGGAGCCATGTCCTGAATCCACTTGATCCTAGCTAGAACAGCTCCACTGAAAGAAGGGGAATTACACAAGTGTTGAGTCACCATTTAGCCATTGATTCAATGGGTCTCTTTTCATTGGGACTAGCAACTGGACTGAGACCTGTGACTATGGAAATGTGACTTAATTATTACAGAAAGATTTTGTTGGTATAACATGGTGGTTTTCAGGGGAGGGGGATCCCAAGCTTTTCTCTCAGAAGAGGGCTGCACTGATGACATGAAGATCTCATGCTTCCTCTGAAGCACCACTCTACCCTATACCATGTGATGGCTACTTCTTATGAAAGATCAGCTCAAGCTGTCTTCCTTGCAGGATCCATTACTCAGCCCATGGTATTTAAAGATAATCTTCATTAGGAAGTCTGGAGGGAAGGAATGGGGATGATCCATAGTAAGTGCTACTGGGCACCCAGCTTATTCATCTCCTTTTGCAACAGAAAGAGTAGAGTTTCCTACAACCAAATGACATTGTTGTCTGGATGAAGTTCAGTGGGGGGGCACTTTAGATTTACAACCATTGTACACAAGGAAGGGTTGGAATCATCAGATTTGGATTATGGAGGTTCAACATTTAGGCCTTGGTGTGGAAGTCAGGGAAGAGACATTTGAACTGCATTATAATCCTGCCATCATCAATAGGAACAGGAAGGTATCCAAAAACAGAACTGAAATTAGGAACAGTAAACACTTTAACTTGGGCAGGGAGGGGGAAAACAATAGATTGGTTTGCAGATTTCTCTTCCAGACTAAATTCCATGTTTCTCCACCTATTATTTAGGAGTTGTGTTAACATAGAAGGTGAAAGACATGGACCTCCAGTTGAAAAAAAAAATCACACATCTTAGTCTTGGCACAGCAAATCAACCATTAATTGACTACAGCATATAAATATGTCCCATGAGTTAGTTGTCAGCTGAAAAAATAAATGTTTCATGAACAGCATCAAAATGTAATATAATATTTTTGCTTAGTATGCCTGGATTTCATTGCAATACAAGAGTGGGAAGAATTGTATCAAGAATATATATCTATGTATATAGTGTATACATTCTTAAAGACTCTTGTGTAAACTAGGGATAGGAAATACATGGCAGTCCTCCAGATGCCAGTGGGATGCAGTCCTCATCAGCCCTAACCAGATTGGCTAATTAGGAAGGAATATGGGAACTGCAATTCAAAAAACATCTGTGGTATTACATGTTTTCCAGCCCATTGTTTAAGCTGATGCAAATTTGCATATGTTTCTCTGTGCACACTTGTAAAGGAAGGGGAGGCATGTCCTTAGTTTAGTTTGGTGAGATGTAGCTAAAGAACTGCTTGATCATGCTGAAAAATATGAAGGAGTTCACACGGGAGAAAAATCTGTTCATATCAGATTGAATCATGGATTAGGAACTTTGGAAATTTTTGTTTGATCCTAACTTTAAAGGAATCTGGCCTAATTTACATTTCATGAACTAATATTCAGATTGGTGTAGAGATATTTATCAGATTTCAGATTTCTCTGGATTTTGCAATTGAGTTTTTAACTTTAAAAATTGTATATGTATTCATTAGGGAAAGACATATTAAGAATACGTATAATCATAGGAAAGTTGCATGCAGAATGCATATGTTAGGAAAAGTTAAAAATTTATGTGATGTTCCCATTTTGAAAAAATCCCAGAAATGGGACAGAACAGAGTTTGAACTAAATACATTTGAAACTTGGATGGACCAGATACAGAATAATTCATGTATACTGATTGTCATATAACTATCACTAAGGAGTGACATGAGACTTTCCCCCCTTTAGCTTGATTTGAGCAGATTCCAGGTTATTTTCAGTGTTGGCAAAGTACCATGAAACCAAGGGGTGGGGTTAGGGCAGGAGTGAGTGGATATTGTTTGCCAATGGACTAACCTTGCAGGCAGAGGTGGGTCAGCTTTGCCAGCAACCAGCCACGAAGATCTGTGGTAGGCATATCTGTATCGCTTATTGTCTACTGGAACAATGTCCATGAGTACAATGAATTTGGCTTCCGGATCCACACCAGAAAAGGAAACCCTGATGGTTGGAAACATTCTTCTGGAGGAGACAGAAGCAAATAAGATGAGGAGCATATAAATAAGAGACCAGAGAAAAGAACCCTTTTGAACCTGATCAGAAACAGACACATCGTGTGGCCACCAGACAGAGGGGCAAGGGAAATTCCAAACATGCCTGTATTTCTCTGTTTGGGGATGTTTAAAACAAGCCATATCTCCCCAGAGCTTACACTGACTGAAACAATTCCATACTTTAAACATTATAAATTCATATATTTGGAAGGGAGGGGGTTGAAAGTAAGGCTCAGTTGCCACATATGGTTGCCAACAACATCTCAGGAGACACTAGCTGGGAACCTCCAGTGGGGACACTCTCCTCATATCCTCTTCCAGGCATATGGCCAGCCCAAACAAGCTCTAAAAGGAGGAGTTAAGGAGAGGGAGGCTGAAGCAGCAACCTAATATGTTTTTTTTTCTTAGTCATGCCATCTTGGTATTATGTTGTATGTAACTAATTGTTATAATTGTATATTTGATGATTTTATATATCATATACTGTTTGTGTTTTTTATCCATGTAAGCCGCCCCAAGTAGACATTGTCTAGCGGGGTGGGGTAAAAATCGAATAAACAAATAAATTAAATAAATAAATACATAAATAACACAAGAGGATAAGGGGCTCCCTCTAGGAAGCCACACTGAGAAACGGGACAGAGATGCAATGAACCAAACAGAATAAACAAATAAATAAAATAAATAAATAACACAAGGGGATGAGGGACTCCCTCTAGGAAGCCATACTGAGAAACGGGACAGAGATGCAATGAGCTAAACATAGTCTGTATAGGAGGGAAAAGAGAGAGAGGGGGGGGCATATGGTAGGACCTACAAACAGCTACCCAGCCTAACTCAAGATAAGCAGGAACTATGAAAAACCCTCTGACACACTAAAGAATTGCCCCGTTTATTAGAGCGTAGTTTTTTGTGGGCTACAGGCCATTTCATCAGATGCATGAAGAGACTGTCAAGTTAGAATTGATTTGGAAGCTCTAGTCTATCACCAGAGAGCTAAACTGAGTATAAAAACATGTGATATTTATGCTAGCAGAGTCTAATGGGCTAATACTGAGCTTATGGTTGCAGAACAAGAGTTACTGTTCTGGAGACTCATAATTCCATTAAAACAGAATACTTGGGCCAATCGCTTTTGAAAAACCATTCAAGCAATAGTGCAGAAGGATGAGCCACAGACTTAATTAGAGAATCCCAGAAAGTTGACTTGTGTGTATGTAGGTCTGCTTAGCCAATACACAGACACCATGGAAGTCTTCGTCTATCTAGCTGGAAAAAATAAGCAGCAGCAGCAGCAAGTGAGAAGGAGAAAGGAAGCATACTGATTATTTTGTTTCCTAGAAAAAGAAAGAGGGAGGTGGAAACAGATCCAGGGTACATATCTGGCTGTTCCTCTCTCTCCAGCTTGGACCATTTGCCAAATAGCTTGGTGTTCTATTCCTGCACTTGCATAATGGTTTCACATCACCCTGCATGCATTAATTGGCTTACCTAACATCTGATGTTTGTGTTATCAGTAAAGTCTTCTTGGTGGCAAACTTTAGAGATTAGATGTTCACTGTCAATACTGTCTGCAATTAGTTTCCCTTTAACCTCAGTGTCTACCATCTCAGCCACCCCTACCTACCTTACACACATGTGATATGCTAGATAACACCCCATGCCTCTAATGAAATGGCTATAGTCCATTAAAGTGCATCCTTTTATTGTTTTCCATGCAATAGACTAATTTTTGGAAGAATTGTGTGCATCTCAACCATCTACAGGACAGCAACATTTAATCCAATAATGTCATTTTCATTTCATCTTTTACTTGCAATGAGATATGGATTCGCAATGACAGGAATTCCCTGTCATACACGCCTTGTGACTCTGGTAAGATCCCAAGAATATCTGCCAGAGAACTTTGTGAATAGCTTCCATAATTAGAATCTTAGAAGTTGTGCTTTTGACATAAGCAACTCAGGATTGGTGTGGGGTGGGATGGATTTGCCAGGTTATTTTGTAAGAATGTTGCAGACAACTTCCCCAGCATAAAAACAAGGACAAATATTAAGTGCAAAAACAAGGTCCCCGTTATTTTCATTTGATCCTCTATACATTCCCACCACCACCCAAAACTGGAATAAAAGGAAACACAGAACTTTTCTCAATGATTCACATTACAGGATAACAGAATAATACCTATCAGCAGATACTGAAAGTTCACTAGAGGTTGTGAGGACAAATGCAATATAAAAGAGGCTGTGTTACTGCTTTATAGCTCTCAGCAGGGGCAGATACACAACGCATGTCTGCTGCCCAGAGACTTCTATAAAAGAGGCTGTGTTACTGCTTTATAGATCTAAGCTCTCAGCAGGGGCAGATACACAACACATGTCTGCTGCCCAGAGACTTTAGCTTCAAGTGATGACATAGATGTGTGAAACCACGTCCATAGATCAGAAGAGACAAAATGTTCATATCATCATGTGATAACAGCTCAGACACCGTTTCCAGTGATACAACTTCACAACACATTCAGCTACATGGGCCCTGGTATAATGCGGTGATGGGATACTGTGTTGAGACAGCTGTTCTAGCACAATTTGGCTGCTTCAAATGTGATAAACCTACAGCTTAGGTTTAGGTCTTTGTAGCAAAGTCCTCATTTTTCAGGCTTTTACATTTAGATTTCCTCTTTCTCTTATTGAAGTATATTTGCACACACACCAAGTTTCCTGCAGAAGCCACTTTGAAGCTAGAATCTCACAGACCTCTATGCAGAAGTAAGTCTCTTTGATGGGGCTTTCCAATACGCAAAAGACACAGATGAAGGAAGTTTTGCTTTTAATTACATCTGCCAGAACACTTCAGCCAACCTGGGCATGGACCATGATGGCTGGGGTATTTGGGCAGCTGTAATCCAAACAAGGAGTGCTTCCCATCTCTGATCCAAGGCATAGAGAAGCTCTGCCCCCCCCAAGTCCACTGGTGGTATCCCAGTTATCTTACCTTCCTGATTTTGTGATGATCATTTCAGTGCCCAGTTCATGGAATTTGTCCCAAAGCTCCTTGGTCTCCAAACTGCAAGAGATCTTGGCCATCTCCTCACTGGGGATGACCGGGGTGGTGGGAATGAGGGGTTCGGTGCACAGAGTGGAGGGGCTCCCACTGCTGCTGTAGTCTCCATGGGCATCCAAACCGGGTAAGTCATTCAGAGGCTGAGAGCAAGAAGACTTCTCCACAAATTGCTCTGAAAGGAAGACACAGAGAAAAGGCAACATCCCGATGAGAGGACTGATCCTAATGAAATAACAAATCACCACACCAGATGGAGGGAGGGAGGGAAGGAATAAAGGAAGGAAGAAACTGGCTGTCCTTCTGCAAGCAGACAAAGATCCTTCTCTTCAGGCAAGCTTTCCCTTAGTGACTGGCTGCCTGACTGGAGTTTTTTAAATGAATTGTTGTACCTTGCTGCTTTGAAGGCTTTAAAGGTGTTTTAGTGTTGCTTCTATTTTTTGTGTGGTATTTGATCCTTTTTTGTATTTGTATACTCACTGTTGCTAGCATTAAATACTGTCTTTAATGATGTAAACTGCCTTCTCCTTTTTAAATAAATAAATAGATAAACAAACAAACAACCAAACAAATAATCTGGAAGTGAAACTGAGACTTACATGCAGTAAGAAGAGAGCAGAATAAAACAAAACAAAGTATTGTGGTACCTATAAGATGAACAAATTTATTTCAATGTGACAATGCATTTCAGACACATGCAGAATATAGTACTTAAACATCAGGTTTATAGTTCTTTTATTTTGTTTTGATCATAGGTACTGAAATAAGAGGTAGCACAGCTATCTCTTTGAAAATCACCAGGAAGATTTCAGTACAAAGCCATTAATGGCCAGAAGTGAAATGGATATCTTGGAAGAAGATCCCAAGGTTCCCAGAAATAGAATTGGTATTTACAAAATTGGCAACGAACGCTAGTTTTAGTGAGTCTTTCCCCCTTCTATTTCCTGCCTTATATGAGTGAGTATGCACACTTTGGGAAAGCAGAGCCTCAAAAATTACTGTCCCTTTTTTTAACCATCACTTACTAGGATAAATGAACTTTAATGTCAAGTTTCCCCCCCTGGAAACTGCAGAAAACAAGGAGATTAATTTACACTGTTTTACACAGTAAAGAAGTAGCTGTTCTGAGGCTTCCCAATTAAATATCATGAAAATGTGTATGAAGACTCTTCCCCTAATTCATCAACTCAGCATCCAGTGTCTTTCTTTTTGTTTGCATCTGTTTTTTAAAATGCTATTCTCTTCCCTGAATTTTATTTTCATACAGAAAAGAACTAGTGTAGGCACTTCTTTCATCTTTTCTGAGCCCTTAGTTTTAGGACCTTGAAGCGTTTGCATGGAACAATTTCTTTTACCACCAGAGAAAGGGGCTGATGCCATATAAAGAAAGGGACTGGATGGGGAGAGTGAACTGGTCCACAAGGCCAAACAGGACAGGGCTTGCACTGTCTATAACAAAAGTTGCCCCAGTCCCACTGGGGGGGTAAACCCCACAATCCTGGGGTGAGTCAGTTCAGAAGAAATGGATGGTCTTTCTTAGTTAAGTTTGGTGAGTTTCTAGAAGAGCCTTGATACCAATTTTCTACATGCAGGGTTTATTTTATTTTATTTTTTTAATTCATGGGGGAAAGTTATGAAGGCTGGGGTGATAGAGTCAAAGCACCAGGTTCACACTCAGTGAAGCCTAGGATTATCAGGTCCAGAGTAACTGCAAGGGAAGAGACTGGGCATGAAACGGGAGCTGTCACACAAAAGTTATGTGCTGCAAAAACAGATCTTGCGCTTTTCAAATAACCAGAAGGAGGATTTAATTATCAGGAAAATTGTTCCAAGCTGCACCTCTTGAGGGCAGCGGTAGGTATGGTGCCGAAAATTTAAAAAGCGTCAATTTGAATTCAGAGTTAAGGAAATAAGTTATTTTAATAAATTAAAAAAATCACACCGGTTGTTAGAGGCTGGAATGCGAACCATACGCCGCTCAAATACAGTCCTGTTGAACTGATCGGGATTCTCTTCCGGGTAAAGGCATTCAAGATGCAACAGCAGGTATGTGTTTGTCAAGAAGTTTTCCAGAGAAGCATCAAATGTGGTCCATCAGCAGTGCATAAAACACAGGGCGAATTACAGAGGGGAACAAGGCGAGGGTATTTAAGTATGTATTCAAGTATTTGCAGTTACTGAAGTGTTTACAGGACTAAATAAGACAGAAAATGAAAGCATTTTTTACCCACCTCGGATTTCAAAGGGAAGTTTAGGTTTCCCTCCTTGACACCCTTATCGGGAGATAAATTCGACTGAGTCCCATGGGACTCATTTCCGAACAGGGATACAGTACTTTAAATTGCGCCGCTAAACATTCTCGGAACTTCTTCCCGTTGCACTCCGAAGATCCTTACGTTTAAAATGACGCGTTAAATCCTAGGCACGTTTTAAATCCTAGGCACATTTGACAAGTTTCGTCGAACTCGGGTCCAGGAGACCCGGAGTCAAATCACGATTCGGCCTCAGGACTTCCCGGGTGACGCTGGGCCAGGCGCTGCCTTAATGCCGGAGTTATTATCCGAACTCTCCGAACTACGAAAGGGGGCGGCTCGCCCTGGAGGAGAAGCGCGATATAAATGTAAGGAACTGCTAAATTCAAGGCTGGGTCAACGATTGAAGAGCCTTGGGTCGCACCTTCCCGGAGAGTTTCCCGAGACTGACAGGCTGCCCGGGGCGGAGGGGGGGGGGAGTCAAAGCAAGTTTTAAAGAGAGAAAGAATGAGAGAGAGAGAGAGAGATGCCAAAAATTCAGCCCAGCGGTATCTGAATTCGTCCCGCTTTGAATTTTTACTCCTCCGCCTGTGCCTCCAGACGGGATTGTTTTCCGAAGATTTGGAGAGAGCCTTGTGATCTATAAGCGGGCCATTCGCCCCGTTCAACAAATGGATCCTTGCCACTATTTCTGTATATTTCTAGGCAGGACAATAGTACTGGGCTCATAATTACTGGGGCCCCAGAAAGGAAATCCCCGTGCAGAGCTCGAGAAGGAGATTCCAGGAAAAAGGATCCCGCAGGCACGCAGGCCTCTTCGTGCCGGCCGGCCTAATCCGAAGCATTTGGGCTTCGGTGGAAAATAGGGGAGGATGTCCTGGAGAGAAGAAGCGCCCCCGATCTAGTCCCTCGGGAAGCGCTCCTGCTGAGGCCGCCTTCCCGCGAGGGCGAGGCGCGGGGCCGAAACAGCGGGCGGCTTTTCCTTGCGGGGCCGATCGTTGCGCAGGAGAAGGAAGGTCTCCCGGAAGGCCGCCCAGGCTGTTGGGGATGCCCGCCTGGAAGGGACGGCTTTCCGTCCCTTTGTTGGAAACCAGGGAGACCGTCGGGTGGCCCCGATGATCGCGGCCGGAGACGGGATGCAGCTGGAGCGAGCCTCGGCGGGGAAGCCCAGAATTAGACCTTGTCTCAAGAAGGAGGCATTGGCGACCCCTCCCCCTCGGGGGCCGCAATGCGAGCGGGCCGTAACCCCGGACAATTAACCGGACCTACCCGAAAGAAAGGTCGGGACCGCACAGCCGAAACAGGGAGCCCGCCCCGCTCTCCCTCCCCCGCCTCGCGGGACTGGCCTAGCGTCAGGCCGGGAAGCGACGCCGGCCTAAGGGAAGCGCCGGTCCCCTCGGAGTCCGCGCCGTCCCTACAGCCACCTGTGCGATGTCACTGGCAGCGATTCCGGCAGTCCGGTTCCCAGGCGGTGGACGTGTCTCGGGCTGCGGGCTGCGGGCCGTCGGATGGCGGTGCCCGCGTCAAAAGCCACAGCAGATGTACGCACCACTGTGGGGAGGGCTTCAGGGCGAGAGCCCCCTTCAAACACTGCCCGGCTCGGCAAAAGAAGGCGGCTTCGTTCCGATTCTCTGGTGCCTTTTGGACGGGCCAAAAATCTGTTCCGCCGCTTTTCCACCGAAGTAGCTATTTCGATAGGATTGAATAAACTTGACTCTTTTAGGAGCCGGAGTATTAAAATCCCAAAAACATTGCGGCTGGCTTCCTTCTCTCTCTGCACAGTCATCCGAAGTAAAGCCCGTGCAAAGGCCAGATTTCAGGGTCCTCTTACAGACAGGGTTGGTTTTGAAAGGGAAAGATGTGTAATTTGTACAACACACCGTTATTACCGAAAAATCCTTCCTTAGGGCCCAATCCACCAGTAAGCTTTCCTGCGCGAGCCCCCCTGAAATGACTGCGCGCACATCTTGCGCAGCCCCGTTGAAGGCGTTCAACTGATGATGGTCTTGCCACTTTTAGCGACAAATCTGCACCCCCACGCACCGCGCAGTGTCTTGCACTCTAAACACTGCGTGTCTGAAACCAAGAACACCAACGCCAGGGCCAAATTCCCTCCAGGGAATTAAGCACACTGCTCTCCGTCGGGCGCGTCTTTTGCTGCAATTCTGAGAGCCTGTCCTTGTCCAGTGGGCGTCCTAATTTGTTTCCTTGCACTCCTAATCTCAAAAGGAATCGTTTCCACAGAACATCCCACTTCCATGTGGGATGGGAGCACCCCAGACGGAAATGCAAACAGGAATACAGTTGCAAAATCCAGAAACTTTTCCCCCCTAAGTATGAATGGAGAAAGCGTTTGGCACAGAACATCTAGTAGCCCTTGAGTGGGCAGGAGATGTTTTGGAACTCAGAGGGCAGCGACAGGGACGCGGGGAGATCGCTGCCAGCCGCGCTGACCCCTCGATCCTCCCCTGTCGTTTGCGCCTTCCAAAACACCCAGCGGAGTCGGATCTCACACTTCCGTCCATTGGACTTCAGTGGGGCGACGGACCGTAGAGGTCAGCGGAACCGATCTCGGGGTCGAAGCGCACCCTTGTCTCGTCACTAGGCGGACATGCAAGGTTCAGCACAGGGAGCCCGAGGGCGCCAAAGGGATCAAACGGCGACCCAAGGCCAGAGGTAGCACGGGGCTGCCTGCTTAGAGCAAGTCGACTGGAGCGCGATCCCGAGGAACCTACCTGCCGCCGACTTCCGCAGGAGGAGGATTTGAAGAGACTGGCCTGAGGTTTCTTCTCAGCCAGAGTTCAGACTCAGTTTGAAAACCGTTACTCAGACAAAAATCGAGATTACTAAGAGGATCAGTCTCCTGGTGATCCTCTTGGTGGGCTGACCAGGTACAAAATATATGGTCCTTCATTTGTTCTTTACTTACCTCAAAGCGGAACTTGATTGCCCTTTCAGTTAAGAAACCCTAGACCCAGTGGTTCTGAACGTCTTCTGATCTGCCAGCTCCCCAAACCTCTGACCACTGGCCATGCTGGCTAGGGCATCCGGGTCCTGAACTCCAAAACACCAGGTGGAGCAAAAGTTCAGAACCGCTGGCCTAATGCGAGGGCAGGGGCCGAACGTTTTCTTAAGAGCGCCGCCCTGAAAATACAAGCGACGCCTAAGAGAAATGCGCGAACTTTCACGGTTTCCAAAAAGCGCTTCTGAGCAGCCTTAAGGCAATTCTGCTTAACCGAACTTCGAAAAGAATGCTCACAGAAATTTCTCTTGGTACAGGATCACATGAACTAGTCTAAAGCTTCATAAACACACGCCTCAATAACCCAGAAGAAATAGTATTGCCCCTATCCAGGGATTGGTTATATTTTTCGTTGCAATGGTCAGTTTTGGTCAACGCACTATTTAGTAGTAGAAAGCGCCTTTCTACTACTCTGTTTCACGTGAAAGCTCTGGATCTTCTTTCCTCGTCAGGCAAGATAAACGCGGTTTCAAATGCATTGTATTTAGTACTGCTTCTATAGGCGACTAACAAAATCAGAAGTGTCGAGAATATCTAATAAACGGCTGCTGTTTTTTTTAACAGTCCTAAAGAAAACCGACGGAAGTTTTTCCAAATATAAACGGGTAAGTCTTTTGTTAACCTTTCCGCCCGAGGAAAAAGTATTCGAAGGAAGGTCGTCATCCAGATATTCTCAAGTTCTGTGCCTAGAAAACAGCACTTTAAAATAAATGGGCTAAGGAGGGACACAGAGGAAACTTTTCAAAAGATAATTGTAACTTCCTTAAAAGAGGGGTATATTTCCATGTTAAATTCTGTCAACTTCTGACACTTTTTAGTAAAGAAGAAAATTTACACATCGGCACGCACACACGGTGCGACTGTCAGCCTCATCAGATACAGTATTTAAAGCGAAATCCTGAATAATATGGCGTTACCTCTGGAAGAGGAAGCTCATTCTTTCTGGAGTTTCAAGCAAATCCCCGGGCGAATCTAAGATTTTGATCTCAACACGTCTGAAAGGAACCATATCCCAATGAACTCAGGGAAGGCGGCGTGGAAGGAAGCACTTTTAGGACCCGAGTGCCATCCACGTACAGCACACAGGGGCAGATTACAGAACAGGCTTTAGGGTCGCTGTCAAAAAAGCATCCTACGCCTACTCTTGGATAAAAAATCTGAGCCCATCCGAGTTTTGTCCCGGCCTGCAACCGGACATGAGACCTTTCACTTCAGAGGACTCCATCTCTGCTTTTTGCACTCAAGACTCTCTCTCTCTCTCTCTCTGACAACATCAATTAGATGTTTCCTTGTGTTATTTCGTTTCGGGGTTTGTTGTTGCTGTTGTTTTAATGAAACCTAATTCCACCGGATCCCAGACTCTGAGCGCCTTCGGCGACAGGACTGTTGCCTGGGCAAGAATTCCACCGATTTCAGGGACTCTGAATGCCAATTTCCCCCCAAAACAGAACAGCCCATTCCTGTACTAAAAAGGAAGACCCATCAAAGTAAATGGTTTTTCTTTTTAAAGCGGGATCCTATGCAGGTTTTCTGGGTGTGGTGGTGGTAATAATAAACCACACTGCATTAGAAAGAGGTGGAGGCTCAGTTCTAAGCAAAGATGCCTCGTTTTTGATGCTAGTTTCGCCCTATTGTGAAGTCAATGCCTCCAGAATTGCAACCCTTCACGTTTCCATTAGATCTCCTTCCTTCCTTCCCCCGCCTAAAAAAGACTATAAACAACGGTTCTACAAATGGAAGAAAAAGTCAGTAGCCCTCAAAGGCTTTGTCCTTGGGCTAAGCTTATTCTACGATCTGCCTCTTTTCTACAGCAATCAAAAATATGGTTGTTGTGGGTTTTTCGGGCTCAGAAATATCTTCTCCGAAACGGTTCCTGCCTCTTTCTTTACTAGGGGACAGGGCAAAACAAAAACAATTGAGCTTAATGTTCCCAGACTGCAACTTCGACATCTGGACTTGGCTGTTGGATCGGTGACACCACAATCCGAGCGGAGCCACCATCACTCAAACATCGGCTCCTGGGTGCCTAAAACCGGCCCACCTTTCCCATCTCCATCCCCACCAATAATATGTCGGATCATAAACTTTAGCAAAGTCGGCAGAATAGCTAGCTTTTTAACCCTTTTCCGGGATTACTTGGGTTCGCTTCATATTTTAAACTTCCCGCTCAGTTTTTAAAGGGCTTATGGACCGATCATTTGGGTCGGTATTTGTTCCTTGGGAATTATTCTGATTTAAAGTCCCAGATCTGCTGGAGAGTAAGCTCCGAGTGGACTGGGTAACCGGGACACCGTGGAGCCGCAGCAGCTCCATCTTCTCCAGAAACACCGACCGTCCACCCGGTCAAGAGCGGATCGGGCCCTTTGCACTCCCACGCCCGCCCGTCTCCGAAGTGACCTGGGCCACAGAAGAGGCCCTCGGTTCGCTCCCTCCCCAGCTCGGGTGGGCCGCGATCTGGAGGGTGGACTTACCCAGAGGCTTGATGGTGTTCTCGGGGCTTTCTTTCTCCTTGGAACTCCCGCTGGACATGAGCGCCGCGATGGAGAAGGCGTTGGCCCGCGAGGAGAGCTGAGGTTTGGGGGACGCGGTGTACTCCATGGTCGCGAAGCCACAGCAAGCGCCGACGATCGACCGGTCGCTTCCTTCCTCCCCTGATGTTCCCCCTTTCCCTCCCTCCCTCCCCCCCTCTCTCCCTCTGTGTGTGTCTCTCTCGCAGCCAGACGAGCCCGCGACGCTTTCCCTCTCCAACCGGCACAAAGTTGGAGAAGGCAGCCTGAGCCGAGATTTGGCCGGGAAAGCGGAACTGCGGACGCTTCGGAGAGACAGGTCGGGAAGGGAAAAGGCCGGGCAGGCAAGCCGGAGGCAGGGGGCGGAGAAGCACTGGGGGGCGCGCGGCGGCGAAAGGACGGGCGGGCGGCAGGTCAGGCAGCGATCATCTCTTGCCTTCCTTTCCAACGCGATCGGGGCGCGCCAGGCAGCAAGAGAGCGGGCTCGTCCTCCCTGCGCGGAGGCTGAGCGCCAATTCGAGGGGGCCAAGAGGGGCGCGCACTGCGATCGTCGCCCTCCTCGCCTCCGCCTTAATTTGCAGGCCGCCTAGATCCTATCGGCCGTGGGCCAATCAGCGCCTGGCCACGTCAGGGCTCCCTGATCCCGCAGTAAAGGAAGGACGGGCGAGCGGAGGGGGGGCGGGAGAGAGGGCAAGGGTGCTCCAAACTCGCCCTCCTTCCCAGCCCCGACGGCTCAGCTCGGCCGGTGTTGACGGAGGGGGTTCCCCCTCCCCGGGGCGCGCTAGCCAGGCAGGGGCTCCTCTCCAGGAGGGCAGCCCTCCACGCCGCAGCCCACGTGGGCCTCCGGCGAACCTCTGGGGCCATCGCATCCTCTGGCAGCTTAAAAAGAAAGCGGGAGGGGGGGCGGGCACGGCAAAGTTATGTCTCACTTTCGGGGGAGGAGGGACTGATTTGTGCTGTCGAAGTATACTTAGTGGACATCCAATTAGGCAAAAATGCTACGGCAAAGGCAGCGTTTGACCATTTGATCCGGGAAAGGAGGCCTTCCAACCTGTTGAGCGCATCCCCCTTCCCTCCGCCCTTGAATACTTGCAGGACAGTCCCTGGACAGAAACTGCGTGTGAATAGGCTCAAGGAGTAACCGGGCCGCTGGTTTGCTATCCAAGCGGAAGAGAGAACCTCCGGCCCCTGAAAGGCCAACTCTGTTTTACTGGGCAGGAGCTTTAGCAGACTGCAGCCAGCTTCTTTCCTCCGCGTCCGAGGGAGGGGGGAGCGGGCCAGCCTGCCCGTAGTCTCTGTCAAAAGGAGACTTTTTCGTCTTTGAGTTCCTGCGATGTCTTCGCTGCAGTAACAGAGTAATGGGTCTACCTCCCCACCCTTGCTCATTGACTTCTCCACGGAGTGGCTCCTTTGCAGTGTCATAATGATACGTTTTGTGGGTCAGGCGCGGCCACAGCCGGCAGAGTGAAAGGGCTCTCTCAGGCAGCAAATTTTAAGTGTCATAAAAGGCCAAAAATTGTTAAAGATTTAACACCTTACTGTTCTATTTTCACTGCCAGAGATGGGGAGAGAAGCATGTGGGATCTTCTGCTTTGCAGCCGCCGCCAAAAACCCATCTTGGCTGGCTTTGGGTACCGTTCACCTAAAGATTTAACACCTTACTGTTCTATTTTCACTGCCAGAGATGGGGAGAGAAGCATGTGGGATTTTCTGCTTTGCAGCCGCCGCCAAAAACGCATCTTGGCTGGCTTTGGATACCGTTCACCTTGACATGTGTGAAAGCGTATCTTCAGGCAGCAGAAAATCTGGGATGGAGCCTGACTATGATCGTCCTCAGAGCTGAATATAAAAAATGTGGCCTTTTCTACTGATCTACATCTGTGTGTTTTCCTGTGCACATAGGCAGCAGAAAATCTGGGATGGAGCCTGACAATGATCGTCCTCAGAGCTGAATATAAAAATGTGGCCTCTTCTACTGATCGACATCTGTGTGTCTTCCTGTGCACATAACAACAGTCCACAGAACATGAAGATCGGCTGATGTTCATAATACGCTACCAAGGTGGCAGCGGGCAGCAGCGTAGTGATGATGAGTGTCGGACTTGGCTGAAGAGACCTGAGACTGCCTGACAAAGCGGAAAGAGAAGGACACAACATGCCCCCCCAAGGCCAGCCCCGTCAAAACTTCCTTGAAATTTTATTTCACAACATCAGATCTCAAACTCTTGGCTGAAGAGACCTGAGACTGCCTGACAAAGCAGAAAGAGAAGGACACAACATGCCCCCCAAGGCCAACCCCGTCACAACTTCCTTGAAATTTTATTTCATAACATCAGAGATACACTTTATCTCAAACCCAACAGTCCATTTCTTGCAGTTTTCACCTTCAACAGGAACAGGTCTTTTGCAAGGTTCATGGATCCTAAGCTCTCACGGAAGACCAAGCCACCCGCAAACACTTTGCATTACAAAAACAGCAGCATGTTTTCCGATAAAATCCGTTTTTCCCCATGGGTGTGCTTGACTAGGGACCTGCCTCCCCGCCCTAAACTTCACCTACACCACACTGATGCACTGTGTTGTAGTGACAAGGGCTATGGTGCGGGGCTTAGGCAGCAGGATACTATGCATCTTTGTCCCTCTACGAAGAAAATCCGGTATACCCTCTGGAATCCCTCCCATCCCTTCCTGGGCTAACACTGTGAGGACAGCAGCTCTGTTCAGAAGGATCAGGGAAAGCAGATGATGTGATCCTCCCTGCTAAACTCGGAGTGCCTACAGTTTGTCCCAGTCAGCCCTGGCTCCAGTACAGCACCCTCCTGCCTGCAATCAGGTCAAGCGGCACCGCTGATCAAACTTCCGGAGGGCGTGCAGTGTGCGCACAGTCGGCTCCCGCCATTCCTCCGCTTTTCTTCTCACATGTCACAACCCACCATCCTGCTCACAGGCTGGCAACCTAAATGAATTCAAGGTGGCATGAATTCGATTCGACTTCTCAGTAGATATGCATAAGGTTGCCCTGAGAAATGGTTCTTGAAAGGAACTGATCTTAGTTGCCGTTAAGTTAGTTTATATGCCGTTAATTTGTCCCCTGAGTTGGGTTGTCGTTTTCTCCCAGCCTGATCCTGTGCCTAGAGATCAATTCGAGCAAAAGGAGTATGAAGAGATTTCGCAGCCCTCCGATCAAAAGGCGGATTTCCTTAAGTGGCCCTGATATTAACTGCCCCGGGACTCTCTGGAATAGTATGTGTGAAAGAAGCGACATTTATACCTGGGAAAAGGGCGTGTCCTCTTCATTTTTCCACCTAGTTTGGCTGTTGGGCTATAGTGGCTACAGAAAATTAGGTGAGACGCCACGAATATAATAGATTGCGAAAAGGTCCCTGCACCGAGCAGTCAAACAACAGGTTGCACGTGTGAATGAACCCTTAGAGTTCTGACACCAGGAAGAGAACTGCCAGGGCAGCTCTGCTTTTCAGTGGAGTCCCTTTGTCTCGAATTCCCATTTGTCTTACTTCTCTTGCTAGGAACAGTTCACAGATTCTGCTCCAAGTAATGCAGTCTGTAGGTATGCGTACGAACCAGCCCCAAGTGCTCCGCCCCAGACGATGTGTGTGTGTGTGTGTGGGGGGGCTTCCTGAAAACGGAAACACAACAATTGGACTATAAACAGGCTGTTGTAGGAATTTGGTTCCAATTAATACCTAAATCCTTTCCCCAGTCCTTACGAGCAAGACGTAGACGTTACTCTCCACGGCTTTGCTGATTTGGTTTACACTAAGAAGATAATACCTAACCCTTTGCTCTGAAGTCTCCTCGAATAACGTGAGGATCATAGGGCACGTCTTAAATACAGATTCAAGATGGAGATGAGTTTATTGGATTCGAGTTAAAATTTCCGACACAAGTGCGAGGCACGGTGAAAAGACGCACGTCGGGATGGGGATAAGAGAATCGGCCGAGAGCCATTCAGCCAGGAAGGGTTAAGCTGCCTGAGTGCTTCAGAGTAAGCGAGTTGTGGTTTTTAACATAAGCTCGCCCCAAGAACGATTTAAATTGGAGGACAAGATTTCCATCCAGCCTTTGTGGGACTTGCTGCTTCGGAAGAACCAGGCTTAGGATCGCTCCATGGGCGTATATTGGCTTCTTGGCGCTCAGCGAACCTTTGCGAGGAGACCTGAGGCAAGGCAACTGGACCGGGAGCGACAGAGAGCCGTCCGTGTCCAGTGGAAGTATCTGCGAACAGGCCCGCCTGTCCCTATAGGAAAGCTGAGTTTTCCCGCCGCCCAGTGAGGACCCCGTACCCAGGGACTGCGGGGATCAATTCACATCCCAGAGAAAGCAAATCTTCCTCTGGATGCAAATCGCCCTACTCCTTCGAAAGGAGCAAATTGCTTTCGAATCCGAGAAGTGCTCTTCATCGGGCCATTTTCGACACGCTGAATAATATGGGATCGCATCTGTTTTAACAGATGCTAAGGATACGTGACGGACGATGACTCTGGAGACCAAGGTTCAAATCCATGTTCAGCCATGGAAACTCACTGGGGGTGTGGCACTGGTAAAGCCACTCCTTAAATATCTCACTTTCGTTGAAAGCCCTACTAGGGTCTCTATAAATCGGTTCCAATTGACGGCACATAACTAACGAAGGATGCTAACCAAACAAATCGATGCTGGGACGACAAGGGCGTGGATCGGTGGCAAACGATTGTAAATAGAAAGTGACTGCACAAAGAGGCTGCAGGCTTCCCTGGTAGGTTCCCTATCCCTTTCTGAGTTTTCCCAAAACATAATTCTTTTTCCAGTCCTGCTAGGCGGGCCATGCCAATAATAGCTCAATCCTATGCATCTCTCTTCAGGCGTAAAGCAATGGGGCTTCATAACAAATGACCGCATATCGGATTGCAACCCGCCTTTATCTGAAGAAATACAACATTTAGCTTTTAAGGAAGATTTAATTCCCTTACAAGTTTTGTTTTACACGTTGATTTCGAAAAGTCAATTGTAAAATGATAGGCTTACTTTGAACGTCACCGGCCATTTTTCCAGAAGTTTTCTGAAAGAAAGGTAAGCTTCGAGTGGGATCCGAAACCAGATCGGTGGAAGATATCCCTTTCCTCAACCGGCTTTTACCCGCAAATAAATGTGCTATCAGAAAGGGGTGTTAACATGAGATTTCTAATGCGTTTTAAAAAGTTTTATCCCTCCTTACACTAAATAACGTTAATTCCTTGTGTGGTCAATCTAATGTCTGCTCCCACATAGACACAAGAACAAGATGTAAAAACCCCATCCTAAAACCGATGGGAACCAGAATACTCTGGTCCTGTACACGCTTGTTTAAAAGTTAGACACACTGAACTTCACAGGACTTCTTTCAGATATAATATACAGTAGTTTATGCTGTTACGTATATCGCAAAATCGCCTTATATAGTCTTCTGTTTTCAGTGAACAGAAGAAACGGCTGCAACGTCCGTGGTTGTTCGAAAGCGTCGTTAAAACGGACCGAAGGAACTCCCAAGCGTGGGTGGAACGCCGGAAGCGCCAGATTTACAGG